ATTTTATTAATTTTAATTGTGTTTATTAGTCATTGTGAATGATCGTAAACTAAAAAGTATAAAGTGTAATTAAGAAACCATTAATTTATTCCACTAATTGGGAGGTTCTGAATGAAGCTTTAATCAAAGCGTGTGTTTGGAATTTTGGGTGTGGCTTAACACGACAGGATCGGGCTAAACCTTAGCCAGATTTCTGAAATATAATATATATTTCCTTCGGCTACACACCCGCTTTACCCGACCCCTGAGAGCGACCCGAACAGTAAAGCGTAACAGACTCATCTTTTTATTAAAAGCTAAAAACAATGTCCAGTAATTTACGAAATGCCGTCACCGATCTCTTTTTTCTGGTTGTCAAATGATTGAGAAAGTTTGACAATATATGATGTGACGTTGAAAGATCGCTGAACAAACAATACAATTTTTTGAATTGATAATGATATATATTTGTTTTTTTTGGTTAAAGATGGTACAGTCAACTCACGGACTTCTGACCACTGTAGGTTATAAAATGGGACCAAATCAACCCACCATCTATGCTCTGGAAGGCTCTGTGGCAATTGCAGGTTATATTTAATTTATAGGTATACTTAGTTGAAATAGATTTTTTTTTTTAATTTTGTGTTTAATCGTTACTCTCGTGAACAGAGAAGGCCTCTCGGAATACGCCTGACGTCATCAAAAACGGGCGATAGAATAGGTGCAGGATGTACGAAAAAAAGTTTCATATTGACATCGAAACACCCAGACACCAATTTTCATCCTAATAATCCTAATTGGTTCAGAAATAATTTGGAAAAAATAAAAATAAAAAATAACTTCTAAATAAAAATGAAACTTCTACACCCTGTATCTCAGAAACGAAGCATTTTAAGACATAAATTTATACAAACTTTTTTACCGGTAGGATATGCTGCCGAAGTTTCTCGAATACAATTCTGACAACCTTGTATAAAATAACGAAAAATTGGAGTATTGTAATCTCAAAACATTTTCTGAAGCACGTCATCAATCATATCGACATTGACACTAAAGTCTAAAAACCTGACTAAATGAAATTTTGGCAAAAATGTTTAAATTTGTAGTATAATTTAAGATACCGAGCAGCTTTTTAATTTACTTTATAGAGCAAATGATTGTAACAGATATTTTATTTAGATTAAAGCTGCAAAAATTAATTTAAACCGAATTCTATTATCTCTATGTTGGTCACATTGTGTCGTGTTCAGCAATGTTGTCCTTTATTATTTGACAATTATAAAATGTTTTTATGCCAAAAGTAACATAAACTGTTTTATCATTTTTTCGAGAAAATTTATAGTTAATTTAAAAAATAACTAAAAAAAAAAAAAAAAAAAAAAAAAAAAATATATATTTTATTTTTTGTCAATAATGACATGTATTGACTATTTCCATTCTAAATATCTTGAGAACTTTTTGATAAGAGCAGCATTTGAGCAATTTTTAATAAGAGACATTTTTTACGTAAAAAATCACGGAAATGAATATTGTTTTTAGTAGTTTTCAAAAAATTCCAATACACCAATTTTCATCCAAATATTGACGTTACATCAGAAATTATTTGAAAAAAATTGCAATAAAAATGAAATTTCTACACCCTGTATCTCCTTAACTAAGCATTTTAGAACATACATTTATACGAACTTTTTTACTTATTTTTATCTGCAGGATCTGCTTCTAAAGTTTCCGGAATACAGTTCGGACCACTTTGCCTAACAAAATTGTTGAACAGGTGCTTAAAGATAAACTAAATAAAATATACTGACTTGATTTTACACTCTGGGATACTTTACTCTTGGATCTCACAATTTTTTATAGTGGAAGAATTGTGTTGCTAGACTTTTTTATGTTTGCCGATGTTTGTGATTCAGTATGACAATAAGGGCCTTGTTGAATGTACTAAAAATTTTCGACCGTGTGACTAAGTAATATCTTCTAAGCAAACAAAAGATCAACTAAAAATAATAAATATAATAACTCATAGTCTAAAGATAATTGCACCAAACATATCAATTTTAGCCTCGAGAAAACAACACAGGTCGTGCAACAATAACGTGAGTGAGTTGACATAATTTGCTAATTTTTTGATCGATATTTTGTTTTAACATCTATACCAATCACTAACACAGTATTGCCAACTATTTGAATCATGGCTGATCGCTCTTTGTATTTATATAGCTATATTGTAAATTGGAATATTAAATTTACGTACTCCATGGTACTGTGTAAAAATCTATTTTGACTTTAAGTAGATTTTAAAAAATACTTCTTTACAGTAAATATTTCGATTTTTTATTTAAGCTGCATTATGTTTTTCTTATTTGCTTCCTATCTACTTTGAACTCTATCAATATTACACATATATCAAAATCGAATTCTCAATATCCAATAAAAATTCAAATGTTATTGGAACCGGTGCCACATGGCAGATATTCCTTTGAATATCTGGAGATTGGAAAATTAGTATAAAAAACGTCTGCCGATATCCTTTCTACCCATAAAGATATTTCGGTATTATAGTGACATACATCATATGGATTTATTTGATATATATTTTTTTATGCTTAGAAATGATATAAATGTTATAGAACATTTCCATACATCTTTATAAAATGTTTTGAGAATTACATTTTATGTTTTGAATATATTAAATCGTGTTATTAGAGATTAATATACAGAACTGGTACGAATAATGGACACTTTGAAAGTTTTCATGTATTTTAAAGTCTAATATGTTTGTTCAGTAGTCCCATTTGACTTTTCAGTAGTTTTCAAATGACTTTCAGTAGTTTTCAAATTAAGAATTAAATTTTCCATATGTCTTACGATATGCATATATTACACGATGAAAAACAATATATTATTTGGGCAAAAGTTTGAAACACTCAGTGGTTCTACAAAATAAAGTATTGAAAAAACACTTTATTATTAAGGGGCATCTTTTCTTGATAGTTCGTTTTTTGACTTATCTCATTAGCTTTATTTTTATTGAAGATATTTGCTTTTGTAAAAATACGGTAACGATTTATAGCAATTATAGAATTTAGATCATGATTTGCCCTTTGTTTCTCATCAACATACCTATGGAATCGTAGCTTTTGTTTTTATAATGTCACTGTCATTAAAAAGTCATATTATTGTTATTTGTTGGAAGTTACTTTTAACAGAGATGGTTCAAAGTCCTGAAGTTGAGCTCTACCATGTTCAGTAGCTAATGTAAGAGCCAATAAACAATAATAATATAACTTTTTAAGGTTAATTTTATGTGTATGGTGTAAACACTAAAAAACACACCCAAAATCATGTACTGAGAGAACAATACTACCCAGAGCACTAGGAGGTAAAGGGCTCATAGATATCAAAAATATGCACAATAAATGTAATAACATAATTACAAAGCCTGTACCTCTATGCCACCGGGCACCTTACAAAAACAATATAACTTTTTTTTTTAATAATAGTGACATTAGAAAAACCATAAACACTATTTCATAGGTATGTTGCTTAAGACCAAAAACTAGACATGCTTTTAATAGCAAAATTGTAGTTTTCATACAAAATGTAATCGGGAAACTTCGGCAGTATATTCTACAGATAAAAATAAGCAAAAAATTCCTATAAATTTATGTCTTAAAATGCCTGTTTCGGAGATACAGTGTGTAGAAGTTTCATTTTCACTTCGAACTTTTTTAATTATTTTTATCCGCAGAGTATATTGCCGAAGTTCCCAGATTACAATTCGGACCACCCAGTATACGAACTAAAGAAAAATAAACAATAGTTGATACATTGTATCACCTTACCGTCTTCTATTTTCCTTTCTTCTATTAAAATTTCTGTTTATGGAGCAAGTGTCTTTATTTTTATGTCCTCATTTTATAGACTTGTGGGTGTTTGAACTCTTGACCTACCCTCAAGCCATTTTGGCCGGGAAGAAATCCAAATAACTTTTCGGGGTGAAAAAACTGTTTGTTATTTTTATTTGATTGCTGTCCCAGACGCTGAGACTAGACAATTCGTTTTCGGTTTATTATAAATGGAATGTCTTTGTTCCGCTAACCTTAGAATTCCTTTTTTTCAGCGATAATGATTTGAGCACAAAGGTTAGTATATTTTTAAGAACTGTAGAATGATGGGTAATTCTATATATTTTCTCGACAGATAGACATGTGAATATTTTTCTAAATGAATTATTTTACTTTGATTTTTAGAATACTCTTTGTAGAACGTATTCTGGTATGGGAGGTATTAATCACTGCGACCTTACAGATCTATTGTGTCTCTTTTGTAGAATCTGGAATGTTTAGGAAGGGAGTTAATCACCGCGACCTTACAGATTTATTGTGTGTTCCCCTTTCATGAGTTATAACGACTTACAACTCATCATACAGTCTCAGGACGTTAACAAAAGCCAGTATCTGAGACGGAGATCCACACAGGCCAGCTCTCCATCCTTGACATCGGCCGTACCAGTTCAGTTCATGGCACGAACGGTCGTCGTTTCGGCACACTCAGTGATAAGGTGTTCAGGTGTTTCTCCATTTTCCTCACAGAATCTGCATTCGCCGTTGTTCCTCAGCCTACTGAGGTGTCCGTTGAGGAGACAGTGTCCTGTTAGAAACCCCGTAACAATCCGAATATTGTTTTTACTTAAATCAAGGAAAATCTTTGATTTTTCTCGGTCGTAAGTTCTGAGGTACTTTTTCCAGTGTCTTAAACCGTTCGAGGACTCCCATTCCAGGTTACGGATGGAGTATTCCAGGTTCCTCAGTTCCGCCTTTAGTTGGTTCCGCTTGGCGAACAGAACGGTTCTGGTCCAGTTAGTGAAGTGTTCGCTCCTTTTCTAACAAGATCATTCGCTTTTTTATTGCTTTCTATCCCTTGGTGAGCGGGCACACAGAGTTTTTTCCACACATATTTGCCAGTTTTTTTCACACATATTTGCTTGACCTCGTTATTTTATCCTGCTGAGTATCATTATGGTGATCTGTCAACCGACAAAAGACGTTTCGTTTGGCGTCCGTAAAACTTACATCACTTACAGACTTTACTTTCGTAAGGAGTTTTATAATCGTAATTTTAGCTCTAAACAAATTCTGAAATTTTTGGTATTTTCTTATTTAATTTGATTGATTTTTACGCGGTTCCGTACTTCAATAGGAAAAAACGAAACCTTTATTTAAAAACTCCTTTTATAATATTTCTATTCTTCTCTTATATTAATATATCTGTATAAATCTCTGTATTTGATCTTGGTGACTTCTAACTTAGAACTAGAAGCAAAGACATCGTTAACGGCTGACATCAACGCAAGTGGAGGCTTTAATAAAAGCAGTGCTTATAGAAACTATTGTAATTCGTACTATAAAGCAGACCTCATTAAGATGGAGCGTTTTCTATTAAGTCAGTATTCTAAAACAGGCTAAGTGTTAAAATCTATTATAAGTTAATATAATTGGAATTATTATAATTATGAAAAATGTAATTTAACTTCGTAAATATTTCCACTTAATATCTAAATATCCGTTGTTGATTTATTTTACATTTCATTATTTACTACTCACACTTCGCTTGATTTACTATAGAGTATTTACTGTTAAAAATAGTGTTATTATAGGGCGATTCACGGCGATGCGATGGTACGTTAGTTTTTTTGAAAATTTGGATTTTTACATAAAGGCACCTGTTCCATCTATATAATATACAATTATCAAGTGTAAACCCTTTATAACGGTCAGTGATACTGCTGACCCAAACGTTGTGTAAGCAAAACAAATAAAAACAATGGAAGTCCGAAACTCTTAGTTTTAATACTGAATCATTGTCTACCACATTCAAAGTAACGTTAGAAAAATTAGTAGTTTCGAAAAATATAATTTTATACCTGGTGTTCCATTTAAAATATCAAAGATGTTACCACTTTTAGTATGAAGCAGCAACACTGTAATGCTGAAAATAATTTGGACACATGGAGCAGTTGCCTTTATGCAAAAATCAAAATTTAAAAAAAAAATTGTATTTGATTTCAGAACATTTCTTTTTTGTGTATTTTTAATATATTTTTATTAAAAAGGCTGAAAATATTTCTTTTTTATTTATTTGTTAATATTTTTGAAATGATTGACACATATAGAAAGGAAGCCAAAATGCAATAATACAGGATGGCGCACCCCATTTACCTCAGTTGATTATACGAAAACGGAAAGATGTATAAACAAAATATTTTATGGCTATATGTGGGGAGGCAGTGTGAACAATTTAAAATTATTTCGAAGTATACAGGATCTTTCAGAACTAAGATCCATACCAAAGTTATATTTTTTCTTATGGAATACCCAGTATTTTATTTTATATTTGGATTCTTAGGTTCAAAAAAGGCATTTATTGTATGTAAGGGTTAAATATCTTTAAAGTCTTTGGTTTTTGAGATATTTAAAGATATTTAAATTTGCATGCTATAATAAAACAGATTATTAACACCCTGTACATTACTTTTCAGAATTAATTCTTATGCTGAGTTTAAAGGTTTATGGACTTATTTAAATTTCTACCAGTTTACTTTTATTTAATTTACCTGCAATAGTTTAATAAATAATATTTATTAAATATGTATATTTATTATTCTATCAAGAAAAACGAAGAAGTAGTTCTTTGATTTATTTTACGATGACTTGTAGATATATGGATTTTCTATAAAAGAGTCAATTATGGCAAATTCATTTTCTTCACTTCCAACGACATGTGTTTCTGCCTAATAGGTTTTTTAGAAACCACACTGCCATAGCGATACCAGCCATCTTGATTGTAATTTTATTTAAAAATCGCTTTTTATGCAAAATCTCAGCTAGATAGGTTAAGGAAACCCTAATATAGTTTGAAAGAGCATTTGAATCTGCTTCGATTTATTTAAAAAAATACAGGGTGTTGCATTTGAAATATCGAAGTTTTTATATAAAATATATCCTTAAAACAGATCAGCAACTCTTGATAGCCCTGTATAAATTTAAGGAAGCACTACCATTTTTCAGTAAAGTTTACTTCTTTACCTTTAAAGTCAGCATAAGGATTAATGCTGAATAGTAATGTACAGGGTGTTAATAATCTATTCTATTGTAGCATGCAAATTTAAATAACTTTAAATATCTCAAAAACCAAAGATTTTAAACATATTTAACCCTTAAAATAAGTGCTTTTTTGAGCCCAGGAATCCAAAAATGAAATAAAATACCGGGTGTTATATAAGAAAAAATATAACTTTGGTATGGATCTTAGTTCTGAAACACCCCAACTATATTTGAAAATAATTTTAAATTGTGCACATTGTCTCCCCGCATATACCCATAAAATATTTTCTTTCTTCATGTTTCCGTTTTCGTATAATCAACCGAGGCAAATGAGGTGCGCCACCCTGTATATAGGGTGGCGCACCTGTATATATAATATATAATATCGTTTTTTTCTACATTTCCACAGTAATTTATAAAATGACTCGTTCTCATTTGTAAGGATATATAATGTAAGACTTTTTTCATTTGATAAATCATCTTACATTATGATAGTCTGTAGGCGTTTGACTTACTTACAGACTGATATGTTATAAAAAAATCATCCCGATCAACTCACACTTTTTTCAGCTACCCTGTAGGAATTCAAATAGTTTCATAAAATACATCCTAACACATACTTTAGATTGGCACTCAGACAAAATTCCTGAGGTTTTTATTGTAGGATGTACAGATGCCCGACGCAGTGTTGCCGGGCTCGTATAAAGTATTAGAAACGACTTTGAACCGTGGCAACCCCTATCTGCGGCAAATTTTTCAAACCCTTATAACATCATACACAGAAAAAAAGCTTTAATTTGACATATAAATGATAAAATTTCAAAATAAAAGGTCTTATCTTGAACGTAGATTCCTACAGAATTAAAATTGTGAAAAACTGGACATGATGTCTACTGCTTATAGTGCGTTAGAGGATCGACAGATATATTTTGCTTAGATTTTTTAGGCCCTTTTTATCATTTACCGCGTTTTTGTTTTTTTGTATCTCCACCATTTCATAAAATTCTTTTTTGGTGATTTTCTGTTTTTAAAATTTTAGTTTTATTAAAATAAAATGTATGGTTTTCTGTTAACACATGATTTGTGGGGGCGGATAAATTTTTTTATCATACTTGTGCCCTTTCAGTCTATTTTCTAACCATTGAGAAGTTTGTCCTATGTAAACTTGGGCGCAGTTCGAACATGGAATTTCATATATAACATTGCTTCGTTTGTTTAAGGGTGTTACAGATTTTAGTTTGGAGAAATTATTAGATAACAAGTTATGTGCCTTCTGACAAATTGTTATATTATACTACTTTTTGTGTAACCCTTGTAATTGCTGAGACAACCCATTTACGAAGGGGAGCGCAATATAACTTTTATTATATGAATATCTATTTTAGTCTACTTTTGTATTACAATTAATAAATTAGATTTTCTTCATGATTCCAAAACAATGTCTTTTACACATAAATATAATAAATAGTAACTTTCGTTAAATAACAATTTATAAACTAAAGAAGTTTTGTTTTTATGTACAAAATGCACATGTTTTTACCTCTTTTGATTGTTATAAGTATCATACGATCAAAAAAAAGTGGCGTCAAAGACGGCTGGGGAATGACAAACGATGATTATTTTTGATGAGGTCAATCCCTAGACGTCATTTTCTTGACCCGTACTCTTGTTTTTTAATGGCGCTAACTACAGGTTGGCATTATTAAGAGATCAAGAAAATAATATTTTTTGGAAACGTGGTGTGTTTGGAAAGGTTATATAATTTTTTCATCTTTCTATAATTAGTGTCAATTTTTGACAAGTTTATGTCAATTTTTAATAAATGACGTCTCATGAGTGACCTCGCTAAAATTTTTATCGATTGTCATTTCTTAATCGTTTTTAACGCCGTTTTTTTTCGATCATACCGTATTATATTCTCAAAGCTAACCTCACTAATTAGTTTTAGTTACAGAATGCGTTTCAGATAATAGTTTAATTTTCCTATAAAGGATTTTATTTCAGAATTATGTATGTTTTAATGACATATAAAGATTCTTACAGGATGTTAATATTAAAAAATTTTTATATGTCAAAGTCAAAGCCTGCTTGGTTATCATACTTTAAGATCGTACACATTCTTAGTTTTATAATATATATTTTTATAACACATTTTGTTGAATTTTGTACACCACATCGTACGGCAAAAATTATACCACATAATATAAAATATTTTAGAAGTATGAAATTAGCTAAAGCAGCATAGTAAACATGTTTACATCCAAATATACATATATAAAATTAATTTGAGTGAAAATATTTGTTTACAATTAATTTTGTGTATGCGTATTTACGATATACATTTTGGAATATTTGACTTTGTTAATTCTGATATTATTTGTCTAAATTCTTATAAATTCATGTAAATATTTGATAGAAAGGACTAATATTTCGGTTTAATTATGTTTACTTTAGAGAGAGAGTTATTTAAGACCTCACAAATTTTCGCAAAAGTTTTAATAAAACTCCGAATTTCCTGCTGTAAGCAGGTAGAAATTACGAGATCAAACTTTGTGTAATTATTCCATATATTCACTTATTTTTAACAAATATTAATTAAAAAATAAGATTTAACAGAAGTTGTGAAAAATGTATATATTTTTTATTATTATTATTTTATCGTAATGCTTTATACTATTTAGTGTCACTTTTAACGCAATATATCACATGTAACATTTTTTTTTAAATTATTGCATGTTGAATTCATATAAAAAATATTCATGTACTAATATTTATTTTTCTTTGTTTTCAGTGAGGTTACACGATAGTATACAAGAGGAAAATTTCCATTACTTAGTTTTTGATTTGTAAGTATACATTTAAAATTGTCTTTACTTAATTGTGTATTTTAATCGCATACTGGTAACATGTGTATACTATGTTATATCGAATGTGGTAGAGAATGATTCAGTATTGAAACTAAAAGAATTTTGGACTTCAATTGTTTTTATTTATTTTTGCTTACACAACGTTTCGGTCAGAAGTATCACTGACCGTTATCAACTTAACTGGGGACTTCTTGATAACGTGGGGAACACTTGATAGCGGTCAGTTACTTCTAGTTAAAACATTGTGTAAGCAAAAATAAATAAAGGCAATGGAAGTCCGAAAGTTTCAACGATATTATATTATTTCACGCTTTAAAAAAAATATACAAACTATCTTAAAAAAAATTAAAACTAAGAACAAGACTTTCATATTTAAAAACATGCAATAGCGTATCAAATTAAATTTTAATTGCAAGAAAATGTTTATCATAAAATGATAAATTATGATATGTTATACGAATATTTAAATTTATCTTTTATCTTTCGATTTAAGCTAACGCTATACTTAGTATCGATTGATAATGTAAATTTATAAACTACTTTATAGTTTTAAAATTATCATCGACTTTCAGGAAACAAATTTGATGCTTCACTATAATTTTTATAGCTTTTGTAACGTGATTACTTAAGTGACTAAAAACTAAATAATATTTTGTGTATATAAGCTGTCAGTAAAATTAAATTTCCAATTTTATATTAGTTATAAAAAGCATTTAAATAATTACGTATTTGTCAAAATATCGCATTGCCTACTTATAAATTTGTTTGTTCGATAAAATTAAGAAGAAAGTATTATATAAAAATATTTAACTAACTTACTACTGCAGCGGGCGTTATTTTTAAAGAAAATATAAACTTAAGTTTAGTAATTACAGGAGAAAAATTTGTATAGTAATGATACCACCTTTATAAATGGGAGAGTTATTGATAGTTTCCATTACTCAAGCCGATTTTTTAAAGAGAATTTTACTTAAAATATTTAACTAGATATACAGGGTGGTCCGAACTGTATTCCGGAAACTTCGGCAGCATATTTTGGGGATAAAAATAAGTAAAAAGTTGGTATAAATGTAGGTCCTAAAATGCTTAGTTTCGGAGATACAGGGTGTAGAAGTTTCATTTTCATTTGAATTTTTTTCAAATAATTTATGAAGTAACATCAATATTTGGATGAAAATTGGTTTGTGGGAGTTTTTTGACATGAGAAATTCGATTTTGGTGTCAATATGACTCCTACTTGTAGGGGCCGCCACCTACATGTGCTTAAACTGTTTTGAAGAGTAATAACTTTTCGTCCGTATCTGTATAAAACTACTGAGTAAAAAAATATACATTTTTGTATTTTTTTACGTAAAATTTGTCTCTTTATAAAAATCGCTATGAGCTACCGCTCTCAAGATATTTAGAATGGGAACATGTCATTATTGATAAAAAATAAACATATGTTGAGTAGATAGTTATTTGACTAAAATGATAAATTTGGGAACTTTAGTTTTTTGAATTAATCATAAATTTTTCTTCAAAAAAAATGATGATAAAACAGTTTCTGAACTTTTGGCACAAAAACATTTCTAATGTATGATTTTAGTCTAATAAAACTATTTAGTCAACATGTTTAATATATGTCAATGATGACAGGTATTGATAATTTTGATTCCAAATATCTCGAGAACCATTACTCGTAGCTATTTTTACATTTTAGATACCTTTTTACGTGTCGCAAATGTATATTTTATTACTCAGTAGTTTTATATAGGTACGGTTAGGTTAGGTTAGGTTAGGTTAGGCCTAAGTAGGTTTAGACGAAAAGTTATTACTTTTCAAACCAGTTAAACGATATGTAGGTAGCGCCCTCTACAAGTAGGAGTCATATTGACCTCAAAATCAAATTTCTCATGTCAAAAAACTTCCAGACACTAATTTTCATTCAAATATTGACGTTACTTCAGAAATTTCTACACCCTGTATCTCTGAAACTAAGCATTTTAAGACATACATTTATACGAATTTTTTCACATATTTTTATCTGCAGAATATGCTGCCAAAGTTTCCGGAATACAGTTAGGACCACCCTGTATATGACTTTCTTTTAGAAACTACTCTGTTATTTTTGCTTCTATTGCTTCTATGGCTGCTACTGTGATAAATATTACGACTTTTTTCTTATCCTGATATTTATTTGTGAAAAATTAAAAAAGAAACTTTTTATATATAGTTTTTTTAATATTTAATCAGACTTATTTTTAGACATTTATTGCTTTAAATGGCCAATTTACCCGATACCCGATAGCAACAGGCTAATTTTTTTTGTCATTTTAAAAAAAACTCAAATTTCAAAACAAAAATCAAATTACTAAAGCAATAAATAAAAAATCTCCTATGAGTCCTACTTCATCTGTGTCACATTAAACTGTTTATCCTTAACAGTTTTATTTATTCGCACACCGAAATGGTTACAGTTTTGTGCGATATTGTATTCTTAGACACATTTTTAGGTAACATAAAATAAAGAAGATACAAACACAAGTCATTAAAAAGATATTTTACCTTGCCAATACCTGAATTGAAGCGGAAACAGCTTTAGTTTTATAGGTCGCACTTTTAGTGGTGCTATAGTGTTTTATATACTTATGAATTTTATTAGCTAATAAAACGAGATGAAAGAAAATTGCCTCGTAACTTTTCTGGAATAAATATGCAATAAAATAGTATTGTTGCATTTTATTATAATCCAGTAACCATTTACATGAAAAGAAAACTCTACTAATGTCTAATGAAACGGTGGCAAGAGGTCTGTAGGGTCTATGTTATATTGCAGATTCTTCAAGTAATTAACAGTTTATAGCTATTGTTAGAAATAATTTAGATTGTTTACATTTAAAACCTGGAGAACGTCGGCAGCTATAACGCCTAATACCTTTTTACCAGGGTAGAATTTGTTTTGTTTTAACATTTTATTTAAGTTTTTTTTATATACAAAATGATATTGTATATTATAGAATAGCTAAAAATAATAATAAGTAATGTAATAATAATTAAGATGAATTGTTATTAAATTTAATTAAAAAATTATAAACTGAAGCAAAGTTTTAAATTTAAATTATAAATTCTCATGGGGAGATTCGTCTCGTAAAAATAAGGTTTATTTTTCATATGAACATAGGCTCGATTCTGCTTTTTTCGTAGCTAGGGGGTTAAAGTTTTGATTTTTGTTAGATTTATTATTTTTTCTTAGTGCCTTTTAACGATTCGAATGAAATTGTGAGACAAAAACTCAAAAAGTGTCGACATATTTACCAGGGACGGGTTATCACTGGTATATTTATATCATTGGAAAACATGTGCTTGACTGACTTTTTTTCCTCTTTTTAGTAAAATTGTGTGTGCACAATAAGACTTTAAACCCCTACAGGTACAAAGAAAAAAAAAACAGAATCTGACCTATGTTATATGAAAAACAAATCTTATTTTTACGAGAGGAATCTCCCCACGAGAAATGGCACATGTTTTTGAAACACCCTGTATAACAGACATAAAACTATAATAATTTTAACTCTATGTATTTTATGCTTTATTTACTTAGAAGGCACAACTTACTGAAAAGAACCTCTTTTACATTTAAAATATTTATTTATAATACCTAATTAAGTATTACATTAGATTAGATTCTTCAAGATCTATTGTGGTCCTCTTCTGATCCTTCGGTTACATTCTTCAGTCCCATGATTTTCACAAAGTCTAGCAACTTGGAGATTGAACCCTCCAGATAGTTAAGGCCTTAAGGAATCCAGGATTATAAATTATAATATGGCTAATGACGCAAAATACCAAGAAAAAGAAGTACATCGCGATTTTGTATATCCGTTGCACAAGGCACATTTTACAATGATTTTGAAGTATAATGATTTATATTAATATATCATTACATTTTCACTTAACTAATACCTAAATATTAAGACTTTAAGCGTATAATTTAATACTGAGATTTCACTGGTATAAAAAACTTTATTATTACATCAGCAAGTCAGAAACCAAAACTTACAGAACCGTAACACATTTTAGACATTTTAATAGTGTATTTCTTATTTTATGACTAGTATACTTCTTAGGATAGCAAATACGTAAACATAACTATAATATACATTTATATTTATATTATGGTTAAACTACAGAGCATTATGATCTATGACGCCATGTATTCATTGTTTTTATGTCATTATGTCACTTTATGTCAAGATACTTATTAAATTTTACCTACATGTTTTAATTATTACGTTTTGTACTAAAAATTATTTAATTTAAAATCTTGGATGCGCCACAGAGTAATAAATAATACGATAATGTCTATCGTGTTACAGATATATTGTCTCCTTCTTGGCACTATCGAAAAACTATTAAAAATCTTGTAATGTAAGAATTTTCGTTTATTACTTTAGTACCATCCATTCTAATTCGATGCAAGAATATGTGTATCAGAGTGATATATATTGTGAAATGTGTGATGTACGAATAGCAAGGTCCTTTACATTTCTCGATTTAAGCGAACGCTATACTCAGTATCGATTGATAAGTTAAATTTAGAAACTACTTCATAATGTTAAAATCTTTATCGACTTCCTCAGTAAACATACTTAAACGGATTTGATGCTTCACTTTAATCTTTATAGCCGTTGATATGCATTTGCCTAAATGATTAAAAATTAATTGATAATTTACTTAAGCTCTCAGTGTAGATTTATTTCCAGGTTTACGTTGCCAATTATTTTTTAAAATTATATTATATTATCTGGATTTAAGATAGGGTTTTTAAATAGTTTTTAGTATAATTTATTTTTAAATAGTAAAATAACATTGTTATAGAAATCATCTATAATAGATGATTTCTTAAATTAATTAATACGTATCTGCCATCAAACTAAAAACTAATATGATCATAAAGATTACATTATATTATGATTATTATTATAAATTGGATTATAATGAACTTAATAATTTAAAAAAATGCAGCATTATGTCTTTATTACATTGTTTAAATATATTTTTTGATAACTCAAAAGACAAAATTTAATCAAAAAAAATTCTAAAAATAATAACACGATAGAAAAAAACAGCCTCAAAGGCGGCTGTATAATAAATAAAAATGTATGCAATAAATAAAAGTATGCAATAAATATAAAAAATATATTTTTCAGCCTTTCTTAAAAAAAATATTAAAAATACAATAAATGTCCTGAGATCAAAACTATATTAGGTATTTGCTTTAGATGGTCTATACTTACTTTGCTATAAATACGATAATAGTAAATCACATAGGATGTTCAAAATTCTACGCCAAAATTTCTAAAATATAAAACAATTTTTCTTCCTTTTTTTATTATTTCAATAGATGGAGAATTAAAAAATGAACATTTTTTGTATTTAGAGTATTTCAAAATTTTTAACAGTTTAGCAGATACTCGCGGTTTTATATTTTATATGGCATTTTCCATGGTAAATTTTTATCAAAGCCACCCAATAATTTTTCTCTCGTATTTTACCGTTGAAAAAGCCATATAAGATAATACTGCGTGTATCTGCGACACCATTAAAAATTTTGAAATACTTTAAATACAAAAATTATTCATTTTTTAACTCTTCTCACCTTCTAAGAAAAAAATAATATACAGGGTATTTCGTTTAAAAAAAATAAGAAACATTATTTTATATTTTAGAAAGTTTGGCATAGAATTTTGAACACCCTGTATAATTTACAATTACGATATTTATAGCAAAGTAGATATAGACCATCTAAAGTAAATACCTAATATAGTTTTGATTTCAGGACATTTCTTGTATTTTTAATAAAATAAAAAAGGCTGAAAAAATATTTTTTATTTATTTATTAATATCTCTAAAACTATCGAAACATATTTACTCATATCTTAGGATTATGTAAAGTGATCTGGAATGAAGCTAAAAATGCATTATGTGGTGTTCCATTTTAAAAAAATTATCCCGATCCACTGACACTTTTTTGCGCCACCCTACAGAAGTTAAAATATTTTCTTGAAATACATTCTCGTATATACTTTAGGTTTGCAAACAAAATTCTCTAGTTTTTTTATTCTAGGTGCTACAGATGCCCGACGCACTATTGCCGGATCCTGTATAAAATATAAAAAACATCAACTTATTACTATTATTATTATTAAAATGAGAACACTGTATCTGCATGGTTTAAAATTCATTAAGGAAAAAAACCGAGGGCTCCAAAGAATAATATTTAAATTACCATTTATTTATCCTCAATTTACATTTCAGAGTGATAAAAACGTTGTCGATATTTTTTTAAGAACACAATAAGCTCGCTTTTATGAATTTCGTGACGCTCTACGTATTTTTATTTATGTCGCTATATTTGGGATTGGCTCTATAACTACCATACGATGAAAAAATGGCGTCAGAGACGGCTGAGGAATGATAATCGATGATAATTTTGGCAAGGTCAAGCACTAGCTGTCATTTGCTTGGCCCGTACTTTTTTTTATTTTTTAATGGCTTAATAACTGCCGGTTGGCCTTAAGAAGACTGTAATTTATTTTTATATTGAGTCACAAATGATTTTTAAATGGTGTAGTTTAAAATTCGAGAAAAAAAATATTTTTTGGAAATAGATTTTTGGAGCTGTAAACGTTCTATCCTAACTATCCATTTTAATTAATGTTAATTTTTGACAAGTTTTATGTTATTTTTTGGTTAATGACGTCTAGAGATTGACCTCGTTAAAATTATCAACGATTGTCATTGCCCAGCCGTCTTTAACTTCTTGATCTAGAATGGCTGCCTGAACATCGATGACATTTAACTGAAACATAAAAATGTGATAAATATTTTTTATCTACGTCAGTGAGTTAAGAAGCTCTTAACTCGCGCATTTTGAGTGAGTTAAGAGCTTCTTAACTCATGCATTTTTATGCACTCCTTGTTTAGATGACCACCAAAGAGAAAAAAATATTTTAAAAAACATTTATTTTGCACTAAATTGGAAAAATATGTTGAGTACCTTTTCATTTACATAGTTGTGTACTTTTTTTCGGTGCACCATTTTTCATACTTAGAATATGTGTATTCATACTCCTGTTTCGATCTTGCTGGAAGCAATCCAGAAATGGCTCTGAATGCCTCGTCTTCAATGTCAGAGGGAATACTTTCCGAATCGCTCATTTTTTAAATTAGTGACATCAATATTATTTAATGTCATATTAACATTGTCATGCATGGTGTTATTTGAACAAAGGTGCCGTATTATCGAATAAAACGGCGTCAGCGATGGCTATGAAATAAAATAAAGGATAAAATATGTAAATTTATATGGGAAATATCATCGATCGTCATTTCTAAGCCAACTGGACGGCGTTTTTATTCGATCATACGGTATTAAGGTAATTGATTTTTAGGATAGGTATACCGGGTGCGTCTCAAACGTGGCTCACCCCTATAACTTTTTTATTTTTTTTAGTTAAAAAACGAGATTTGGTATGTTAGTATATGACATAAATTAGGATTGGTTGACGTATTCAATACAACTTTTGATTTTTAAATGGCACCCCCAGTCTTTTTTTACTTTATACGATAGAAAATGTCACTCTGAATAGAATGACATATCATATGTCAACTTTTGACATTTTCGCATATGGTTTATTTGAAATTAAAACTAGCGGTTTGTAACGAAAATTTGACTTGAAATACCAAGTGTGTGGTATCAAATTATTCGTAAAAAAATGTTTTTTCTAAATATGCTAAAGAGTTCACCACCCTCGTTTCATTTGAAAAAATTGAGATATGATTAAAAATACGATTAGAACATTTTCTAACTGGCCAGGACAAGACACTAAAAATATTAGATGATCGAATCTATTTTTCCAAGGCTCCTTGTGGAAGAATTGTGAAAATGAAATTGAAAATGTTTTTAACATAGCCTTGGCAGCCTAGATTGAATTTTAAAATACAATTTTTTATTAAGCGAAAATGTCAAAAGTTGACATATGATATGTCATTCTATTCAGAATGTCATTATCTATCGAATAAAGTAAAAAAATACCGAGGGCGCTAGTTAAAAATCAAAAGTTGTAGTTATTAACGTTATAAACGTTATAAAAAGACAAAATATATTATTAAATGGCTCTTTACAATTTACATTCCCACAAACTAAAGCTTAAAAAAATATCACTACATACTACATAGTTATTTTAGAAAATCCGCCATTGTTTTGAGTACATAAATGCCGATCAACGTATCCTCGAAACTGCCAAGAAAAGTTGAACAATCCTACACGCTTTTTTTCATTTGAAAAATGCATATTTACAATTATTAAAACTGAATTTCTAGCTATTCTCACAGAACGACCATTCGACTTAATTTAACTTCTCCTGTACCACCTTTTCAAGTGCCTCTCTTAATTCATAAATTCTTTTGTAAACCTTGTTGTAACCATACCGCATAAAAATTAAAATGAATAGGTCAGGTGATTGAGGAGGCCCATGAAACTGGTCCACCTCTTTCTATTCCTGAGTCTACATAATTATGATATAAATAATTTTTAATATTTCTTTTATTGCGGGTGTCATAATGAAGTCATATTGGAACCACTCTATTAATGCGCGAGTATCTAAATTTAACTTTTCTAACATGTCTTGAAAACTGTTCTCTAAAAAACGTAAGTAACGTTCACCGGTCAACGTATCCTCGAAACTGCCAAGAAAAGTTGAACAATCCTACACGCTTTTCTTCATTTGAAAAATTCATATTTACAATGTTTGTTTATTTTAATTTACAAAGTTTGGATGTGACAGTTTCTCATTTCTGAAAGCAACGACAATTGAACTTGTTTCCATGGCTAAGTGAAATTAGCCAAGAAAGATAAGTATTGGCTATAACTCAGTAATTTTTTGAAAAAAACATATTATAGCTTATATCGCTGAAAAGCTTAAAAAATTGCGCTTTTTATGAAGTCATGGCCAACTATGGTTTCCATTTAAAAAAAATATATGTTTGTGTCATATGTCAAAAATGGCAGGCTTCAGAAAAAATCGGAGACCACAAACTCATTAGGGATATGATTATCTACAACTTTTATCTGAAAACTTTTTGTCTAAAATAGATTATAATGGAATTAGGGACAATTTTAAAAAAAGCCAAAATTTGTTTTTTTTTTCGAAATATGTAGTAAGCCATGAACTTTTTCAAAAATCCGAAAGGCGCATATATGACCCCACAAAACTTCAATTCTTTCCCTATTTAACCGATTCTCTATCTCCAATACTTTCCGAGATACCCATAGAGAACTTCGTAGGAAACTCACCCTGTATACTTATTAAATATGTAAAAATACAGATTCTGATATGCTTGAAATCTACGGTAAGCTATGCAAAGTTTTATATGTTTAAGAAGTTACCGCGCTTTTATTTTGTTTATATATTTTAATATTGTTATTCATATAGTTTGTCTGAACGGTCAACGACTGGTGGTGAAGGTTATACAAAGTATAATATAATTAAGTTCGAAATTATTTGTAAACATCGTTTTTTTTTATTTATAGGGTGACTGGAGGTGAATTGTTTGAAGATATTGTAGCCAGAGAATTTTACTCAGAAGCTGACGCTTCGCACTGTATACAACAAATTTTAGAATCTGTAAATCATTGTCATCAGAATGGTGTTGTACATAGAGATCTCAAGGTAAATATATTTTTTTATTCTGTAAACTAAAGTTTATCAACTTTACTCATAGAATCATGTTCATTAAAAAAATTAAGACGATAAATTGAAAAAGACTTATTTAACTTACAAACAGAAAAGTACTGTACGACCCAAAAAAAATGGTCGCTTAGAAATCGATCGTCATGGTCGCTTAGTTTTCGATCCTACGGTGTTTTGGAGTTGATTTGGTGCCATCCGTGATTTTGAGATATCGCATTTTATTTTGTTAGTATAATGCTTAAATCTAATCTGTGTAGTGGTATTTTCTTTTCCATATGTAAGATTTTCCGCAATCATATTATAATACATGATAGATATTATTCTTTGTTCTGATCAAACTCAATTGGTTATACACTCTTAAAATTTTCATGTATTTTTAAGTTTGTAATATATTTTTTTCTAGCTGGCCGATTTTGATAATTTTTTTAGCAATTGGTAGCTAAATTATTTGACTTTTTTTTCTAAATTAATAATGGTTAAAATTCAAAATTTCCGTCTGTCAGTTATACGAGGGAAAATAAAATGGCGATATTTTGGTGAAAGTTTGAAACAGCCTGTGGAATATGTTAACAATACAAGGAATTTAAAATTTATTATCATTACGTTTTTTCCCGATAGTTTGTTTTTGATTCCTCTCAACAGCTTTATTTTTACTGGAGATATTCGTTTTTGAATAAGATAGGTCTGTTGACTAGGACCAAATGCATGGTTTTAATGTAAAAAATACGAAAAAATGTTAGTGTCTTCTTCAAAAGCGAATATTACCAAAAAAAGCTATTGAGATGAATCGAAAAACAAATTATTGAGAAAAGAGACACCTAGATGATAAAATGATTCTTAAATGCCTTGCTTTGTTAACATACTCCACAGGGTGTTTTGAACTTTCACCAAAATATCAAAATTTTGTTTTCCCTCGTATAATAATTGATAGATGGCAACATCCATTTTTAATTTAGAAGGATATTTCTAAAAAGTCAAATAATTTAGCTACACATTGCTTGAAACAAATATATAGTGTTATATATTTTTCATCATATGATTTATAAATATACAGGGTGTTCTATTTGAGAAAACATAACGGTAGTTCATTTAAAAATATTTTTTTCCTAGAAAAATAGACTACATCACTGTATTCTACGAAAATGTTCTACAAGAATGAGTTTTTACCTTCTTGATTCCTTTGAGAATAACTGAGATATGGGAGGTGTACCAAATTGCAAAATTTTCAAAAGGACTCTATAGCCCAGAAACGAAGAGGGTTTTGAAAATTTTGTTTACGGAAACTTCCATTTGTCAAAAAAGTAGTACTGGTTTGTGTAAACCGCAGCAACTCTTCACTAATAACGGATATACCGTATAATTTAAACCAAAATGGGACACCCTGTATTGCAATATACCTTATCTGGTTGAGAGTTGTCTCAATGTCTATATAACCATTTGTCCTTATTTCTTTTAAGAAGAAATCGCTCTTTAAAATTTTCGCATTCAATTTGTTTTGAAACACTCTGTATTAAAAGTAATTTTCAAAAAAGTACTATGGGTATTTCGCCACTGCAAGAAAATATACAAAATAAAATAGTTATTTTTTGTAAACACTACTGCATTAATCCAACGGAGACTAAATTGTCAACAGTGATTTACTAATAAACAAATTTGCCTAACGGACAAAATAAATGCTTAACATTTCGGGAAGTATATCCATCCCATCGTCTGAAGCAAGAGGAAAAAACACAAAGAACAAAGAAAAAACCAAACCTAACCTAACTCAAAGGGTAAAAACGGGAACCCTGTTACTAAGACTTCGCTACCCGTCCGTCCGTCAGTCACAAAGGTCTATCTTATGAACCGTTATAGCTAGACAGTTGACATTTTTACAGATAATGTATCTATGTTGCCGCTATAAGAACAAATACTAAAAACAGAATTAAATAAATGTTTATAAATAAAAAAGTACTTTTACTAAACATTATCTTTTAAGTAAGAATTTTACATAGAATCTTTCAAGTCCTCGGTGGCCGCGTAGTTAAAGCGTTAGGACTTACGACGTTGGAGCCGTAGTAATAGTCTAAGAGCTGGCTACATAAAAATCCTTATCATCGTTACATGGGTAATTATTTGTGTCAAGTATCCTTTTGTGTAGCCATTATTAAATAGTCATGTCAGCCAGCGCGATCCCGGGGCTTAAAACGGGGGCGGCCAAACGAAAGTGTGAAATTTTGACACTAAAAATGTTACGAGTTGTAATTGCGAAAATAACTTTTATTTATTATTAAGAATTTATTTCTACATTTTTCTAGTCGCTAAAATGCCGACAGACAACGCGAAAGAGGTATGGAATTTTAAAAATTATTAAAAAATTAAATTTGAAGAATGAAAAACATTATGGCATACATGCATGCCGATTGGTGGAATATCATAGTTATTTATTGTAAAAGCCGTATGGAAAAGGGCAAACAAAAAGATCATGGCTAAATCAGCTGCAGTTATTTATCAAAAGCGCGATATTACTCTAGCGCTTTCAGGGAACGCTTCCCGCCTCATCCATTTAAGTATATGTAGATAAATCATGTATACGATTATATTATAAATATATTTTTTTATTATTTCCATAACAGATATCATATATTTACTACTCTGTCTCACTATTTGTATCTGACTGATCGTACTGCAGATCCTCGCTCTCGCAAACGAGTCTTCCTCTAAATCGATATCTGCACCGTAAAGTTTTTGTAGACCTACATGCATTACGTTTCAATTAATAACGCGGCGAGCGTTTCCTGAAAACGCTTATACAGTGTGAGTCTTAAATAAGTGCAAATACTTTTAAGGGTGATATATTTCGGCCCCAGGAATACGTCTATGAGTTTTTTTCGCAAAAAAAGATGTAGAAAATCGTGCATTCTTGTTTAAATTTTCCTGTATATTTTAGAAAACTTTTTAGAACTGCCTGTTTACCGCAATTTTACGATATAATTATTTCTTAACCTACCAGGCTTACAGCTTTAGTCTAACCAATGCCGTCTCTAATAGAACAGCCTTGGGGCGAGATTTATGACGTCACGCTAGATACTACGGATTAATAAATATGTTGTAGAATACATGGAAAACATAATTATTCCTCAGATTTTTGGTTTGTATTTTAAAAATGATGTAATTTACATGAAATATACATAATATACAGTTAATAACTACAGCATATATACCTATTTATAGTAATAAATACTTTGGCAAATAAACTATGAACCATATAAATGCAGCAAATGTTTTATAAATATACAAATAATGTATTACATAAGATACTGGGTAAAATGTAAATATATTTTAAATTTTGGGGTTTGAAAATCGATCTAATTTAACAAAAAAACATTCAATATCTACTAATAGTGATGTATTATTATTTGCATTCACAAAATTTATATGTATATTTTGCAAGTATCAATGTTCGAAAAATTATATTTACAAATAATACAATATCATCTAAAAAAAGGCGTCAGCGATGGCTATGAAATGAAGATCGCTGGCATTTTATATGTAAAATTATTCTAAAATTTTTGATTTTCTTGTAATTTTTAGGTCTGATTTAAGTTTTCATTTGGGTTTTCATTATTTTTATTTGGTTTAAAAAAAACGTTTTGGCTAACTATAGCCTTCATCAGTGTAGTGTCATATGAAAAAAATAGTGTCGAATATAATCCAAAAAATTACATATAAAATATTCACACCACATAATGTTTACTGCAATTAATAAACTAATATAAACTTATCAAAAGATGACCACATATTTTTTAGAATTATTATTCTTAACAGTAAAACTATCTACATTGACTATGGAGTACGCAGTAAACATTATGTGGTGTGAATATATTATATGTAATTTTTTGGATTATATTCGACACTATTTTTTCTCATATGACACAACACTGATGAAGGCTATAATGTTAGCCGAAACTTTTTTTTAAACCAAATAAAAATAATGAAAAACCAAATGAAAACTTAATCAGCGTTTTTCCCGAACCTAAATCCCAAGAAAATCAAAAAATTTAGAATATTTAGAAACAAGGTTCGAGAATATCAAATTTTCCAAGATTCTAGTTAATTATGCCAAGATTCTAGTACAATTATTTAGGGAATGTCATCGATGTTCATTTCCAAGCCAACTAGACGCTAGATTTTTTTCGATGATACGGTATAATTCTTACATAAAATGTAAATAACATTCGACCAATTAAAACAAAGAAATATGAATTTCTTAGTATTTTTAGTAACACCTTTATTCTTAAAACTTAATTTTGTATTGCAAATATACCAATTTTATTGTTATTTTATTCATATTGTATTCAGCCATCACTTAAATATTAGATATTAATTTGGTATTATAAATAATCAACATTATTCAGTAAAAATTACTGAACAAATATATGTTATGCTTTACATATATTATATTATCAAACAAAAACACATTCTTCTTTTAAACTTTATCATTCTTGTCTTTACAAAAATCTTTTTTAATTTTGAACTCAAAATAATAATCTTTTTCATGATCTTTAATACACATATTCTTTATTTTTCCCTAGATCATAATACCTACTTACGTGTTTATCTTACGTGTTTGAATCTATCGAAGCTGAACGAACAACACTTGGAGTGGAGATTCCACAATATGAATAAAATAAACATAATTGTCCAGGTTTCTTTAATACCATTCTGGGAGAATAGTATTTTTAAATGTATTAAAGATATTTTCAATAGAATTGTCTTACATTATATTATCAAACAAAAACACATTCTTCTTTTAAACTTTATCATTCTTGTCTTTACAAAAATCTTTTTTAATTTTGAACTCAAAATAATAATCTTTTTCATGATCTTTAATACACATATTCTTTATTTTTCCCTAGATCATAATACCTACTTACGTATTTGAATCTATCGAAGCTGAACCAACAACACTTGGAGAGATTCCACAATATGAATAAAATAAACATAATTGTCCAGTTTTCTTTAATACCATCCTGGGAGAATATTATTTTTAAATTTATTAAAGATATTTTCAATAGAATTGTCTTGATTTATAACTCGTACCCACTTTTCCTGCTCTTCCAGATACTTTAAGCTGTCTAGTATAACTATCCTTTCCACCAGGAACACAACAAACATGAGGCATAGCACCAAAAACACACTCCACTTAAGCTTTATTGATGAATTGTTAGAGTCTTAAAAAACACACACAAAAATAACGATAAATAAAAAAATTATGGGCACTTTTAGGTTAAAGCACTTAACAAAACGTGTAATATTTCGTGTTTTTTTATGAGAAACAGAGTGACAGTTATGATCATAGTAACCATATATCTGGTAGTACTTTATGTCACTTAAACACCAAAATAATTAGTAGTAATAAAAGTAATACCAAAAATCAACCGACAAAATATGAATACAGAATCTAACCCAATATCTAAGTATGTACAGCTGATGAAGTAAACAAAAGTCCGCCCGTAGGCTGATCTTTTATAGAGGGCATTGGTCTAACCATAGACACTAAAAGAATGGATGCAAATACAGAAAAAAAAACAGGTGGCTAAAAATAAATCAATTTCTTTTTAAATTTTCAAACTTGAATAACTCGGTTACTTTGGGCTTATTTGGAAGACGGTAAAAAGAAAATATGTTTCTTTTATTGAGATCTACCAGCTCTGAAAATATTTGCTCTTATTCAAGATTCACCCTGTAGAGTAATATCGCGCTTTTGATAACTGTGTACCGCTGATTGAGCCACGATTTTTTTGTCTGCCCTTTTGCATACAGCTTTTTAAATAAATAAACAATAAACATGACATACCACCAATCGACATGCATGTATGCGATGATTTTTTTTTGTCAAAATTCCATGCCTCTTTCGCGTTGTCTGCTGGCATTTTAGCAACGAGAAAAACGTCTGTCAACAATTTTACACGTTTCTTATTAGTAAATAAAAGCTATTTGTTAATTATAACTCGTGTACCTTATAATATTTTTAGTGTAAAAATTTCACACTTTCGATTAGCCGCCCCCGCTTTAAGCCCCGGGATCTCGCTGGCAGACATGACTATTTCACAATGGCTACACAAAAGGATAGCCATGAAGGAAAATTAGCCATGTAACGATGATAATGTTTTTATGTGGCCAGCTCTCCGTCTATAACGCGGGTTCGAATCCTAGTCAAGGCGACATTTTTTAATCGTTTTCAAAATCAAAATCAATCATCAAAATTTCAGCTAAATCAGAAAAAAAGTTTATAATAATATAGTGTCTAATGTTGTATAGATAATGAATGGTACGGAACCCTTCGTGCGCGAGTCCGACTTTTTAAAACAGATACGTTTACAAAAAACCGTTGACGTTTTTAAAGAGAAGAATATGACATTCTTGAAGAGATGAATCAGCCATAGAGGTGTAGACATTTTTTAAAAAGTAATCGTTTTGACAAAATATCAATAAACTATCACATCTGTGACGATATTAAAATTTATCATCCCTTATAAAGAACCATATCGTCCAACACTAATTACATAACATATTTTAAATGTTTTAGCCTGAAAATCTTCTTCTTGCCAGTAAGGCCAAAGGCGCGGCCGTCAAGTTGGCCGACTTCGGTTTAGCCATCGAGGTGCAGGGGGAGCAGCAAGCGTGGTTCGGATTTGCAGGGACGCCAGGCTACCTGTCGCCGGAGGTGCTGAAGAAGGAACCCTATGGTAAGCCGGTGGACATTTGGGCCTGCGGAGTGATACTTTATATTCTGCTCGTCGGGTACCCGCCGTTTTGGGACGAAGACCAGCACAGGCTATATGCGCAGATCAAAGCAGGAGCTTATGATGTGAGTATATTCTGTTGAATAAGTGATAAATGGTTGTGATATTATGACACTGTATAAGGTGCTCCATTTTCGTGTGTTTTGCAGGGTATCTGGTTTATAGGTAGAGATACAAAGATGCGGTTTTCACATCACTGTGCTGCTTTTTATGAAACTAAAGATACTATACACAGATTTATCCTAGTCCTCTTAGTTCCTGAAATACAGTTGAAAATGTTGCATTTTTCGACGCTAATAATAATTGTTGCATTATCGAAAAGGTGCAAATTGAGAATCATAGACTTTTTCAGGTAGAATTCAGTGGCTAACTAGATTTTTGCTGTTATTCTTGAAATATGATCCAAAATCCAAACTAATATATATTTTTAAATAGCATACCCTGTATATTATATTTTACTTTATATGCTTTGTTATGATTTTTTAAAAATATAACATATTTTATACTTATTTTCATAAACAAAGCAAAACAATGTATTATTTTGCTTTTTAATATAGGCGGCAGGTTTAGAACGGAAAATCGAATAATTTATTCGACATCAAATTTTGGTTATTGGCTATTCCACGCTAGTTTCTGTGTGTGGAATTATTGCAGAAATGCATTAAAATGTCAATAATTACAGCGTATTATCTAAAAGATAAAACGATGGACTTTTCAAGTAGGTTTATCCATTTATGTTAAAAAATACATTTTTATTTTGTTTATAAAAATAAGTATAGAATATATTATATTTCTAAAAAGCTCATGACAATCCAAATAAAATTAAAAAAATAATATACAGGGTATCTTACTTAAAAACAAATAATTTTGAGTCATATTTCGGAAATGACAGTTCCTAGAAAAAAACTAGTTACGTCACCGTTTTCTACGAAAATACTACGAGCTAGGACAAATCTGTGTGTACCACCTCTAGTTTCATAGAAAAGTAACATAAGCCTTTGATTTTCACCATTGAAATGAGTTCTTATTTATCAATTTGACAAGTTAAAGACAAAATCTTAAAGGCTACTATTCGACGGATTAATTTGCCTTAATTAATAAAATTGCATTTAACAAGGAGTCCGAAATCTACAAAATATCAAGAGACAACTTTTAATCGACATTAAATGGTCTACATAATTTTGTTAACAATAGAAAAAAATCAGTGGCGCACGCAGTTTTTTTTTAGAAAAATATTCCAGTGATAACACAGATGCGCGTCAATGGTGAATATCGGAAACATTATAGTAACCTTTACCACTTATAGTAACTTTTACCCTCAAAATTTCATTCAAAAGGCACTTGGAAAAATATTATAATAATATTTTTAATTAAATTTAAAATTTAATTAAAAATGTACGCTATAAAAGTAAATACAGTTCATACCAAATAAACTTTTAGTCACGTGATTAAGCTTTACCCGCACAGCGTTGTTCACTTTTAAATATTTTTAAATTAATTTTAAATATATAAACAGTTATTATTTACATCAACAAAACTCACCTTCTTAACAGCACTTAAGGAACACAAAGGGCCATTACTACCGCTTTCCCGTTCAAAATATGCAAATATTCATCTAAGTTGCGATGAGTTTTTTACGATTATTAAGCTATCTTGTACAGGGTGGTCGAAATTGGTCTGTTTTAACAGAGAAACCCTATTTCCTGACTAGATAGAACAAAACCTACATAGATGTCATGGGCTCCATTTCTGAGAAACGTTTAATGGTCTAAACCGCCTGTTCATATTTTCACTGCCAACCGAGATACGGAATCTTTTTGAATTTTTTTACCATTTGGAAAATTGCCCATAACTTTTGTATTTCCCGGAATAATAAAATTCTGTAAAAACGTTCTTAGGCACTTTTTTAAGCACAATCCAGTGGCGTAGTCAGTTTTTTTCTATACTTGCTTTTTTAGTCAGAAATAATAAAAAATATAATTTTTTAAATGGAAATTATAGTTGGCTATGAACTTAAAAAAATTCTGGCTTTTAACCCTTTCCAACGATATAAAATTATGTTTATCTTTGTATCGAAGCGGGCCTTGATTTTGTGTTGACCTATAGTTGCCTAATTATTTTTTATCACAATTTAATATTCTATATCATTATTTATCTGCATAATTAAAGACTTTTGAAAAGGTAAATCAACATTCTATATTAGTATTACCATTTACAATGATGAAAAGCCAGGGTTACAACTGCACTATTAAATGGAGAATTTAGAGAGAATTGGATTGGAACAAGGGATCCCATCTTGGCCTGCTAGGTAGGTCCTGTGATGTAACTCATTTCGACTTTTTTTATGGGGTAAATTAAAAGGCCTTATATATAAGGGAAGAACCATTGGGACGAGAGAAGAATTACAGAAGGCTACTAGGCAAAGCTTTTGGACTTATTACAGCAGTTGGCCTAATAAATTGTTGTAACTCTGTGCGCAAAAGATGTTTATTGTGTATTCAACAAGGGGGTGCTCAGTTTGAACATCTTTGATGATTTTTTTTTAGAAAACTATATCAAAAAATACTTTTTTTTAGTTTTATTCTTTGTTTATTGTATCGATTTCAATTGTAATTACTAATACTAATATAGAATGTTAATTTACCTTTTCAAAATTCTTTAGTTATGCAGATAAATAATAATATAGAAGATTAACTTGTGATAAAAAATAATTAGGCAAATAGGTCGACACAAAATCAAGGCCCGCTTCGATACAAAGATCAAAAACCTAATATTTCTCTCATTCTTAGAAATAGATGTCCATAACTTTAGATCATTGGAAAGGGTAAAACACCGGCATTTTTTTAAGTTCATGGCCAACTATGATTTCCATTTAAAAAATTATATTTTTTATTATTTCTGACAAAAAGAGCAAGCATAGAAAAAAACTGACTACGCCACTGGATTGTGCCTAAAAAAGTGCTTTAATAACGTTTTTACAGAGTATTATTATTCCGCAAAATAAAAAAGTTATGGGTAATTTTCAAAATGGTAAAAAATTCAAAAAGACCCCGTATCTCTATTGGCAGTGAAAATATCAACAGGCGGCCATTAAACGTTTCTCAGAAATCGATCCCATGACATCTATGTCGATTTTGCTATATCTAGAGGAAATAGATTTTCTCTGTTAAAACAGAACAATTTCGACCACCCTGTACACTTCGCACTAAAAGAGGTTATAAAAAAAACAATATTCGAGTGCAAGGTATGCTAATAAACATTTTTAAGCTTAAAGTATTACACTATTTATTTAAACCAAAAACTCGTAATACAAAACTAAAGTGTCGAGACGAATGATAATGTCACGAAATAAATAAGTGTTATGAGTTAGTCGTCAGCCCGGCGCCGATATATGTCCATGGTTGGCAACAATGAATTTAAAAATCGCACCCTCGATTACGTAACTAAAAGTTTAATTGATATCAAATATAAGTACATTTATCCAGTTTTATATTAATATTTCTAACTACTACTATATTACCGACAATCAAAAATATCTGTCAGTTTTTTATTAAGTTTGATATTGTCAATTATGCAACTAATACGTTCTGGAATTTTTAGTATCCCAGTCCGGAATGGGACACAGTCACGCCGGAAGCCAAGAATCTCATCAATCAGATGCTGACTGTCAATCCTGGCAAACGGATTACTGCTGCCGACGCCCTCAAGCATCCCTGGATCTGCGTTAGTATATTTTACTACTCTAGCCACTTTATTCGGATAAATTCCACTCGACAGAAGCTTAGAATATTCCGACATTATTTATCTTTGTCTTTCATACTACTGTGATTTTCTATATTAACATATTTTGTACATATATAAATTCTGTAAATTATTTCAAATGGTTTATATTAAGCTATCTACAGGGTGTCCCAGTTAAGATGGATACAAGCCAATATCTTGATTGTTTGTTGAGCGATCTTTTTCATTTTTGGCAGGAGGCTTTATGGCTATAAGACGTACATTTAGCCCAGGGTAAGAAATGCGATACCTCATAGACGTACGTTCTAATGGGGTTTGATATTTTTCGAGTCAAGAGTAAACTATCCTTAGGACAGTATTTTGGCTTGTATCCATCTTAAGTGGGACCCCTGTATATAAAGGATTAAGTGTGACAAAATTATTGTGATACATATCATTTGAAAACTTTTTTTTAATAAAGGGGTATAAAGTTATTTGCTAATTATTAGTTATTCACCACATACACGGACACGGAGTATTTGTATAATTTCACGGAATATAATTTTGAGTTGCAATATTAAAAAGTGTAGTATCTTATATACAGTGTCTAAAAATTTATTTTAAATAATTACTAGCTTTAAACGGCAATAACTTATTTAATTTACATAGAATCAGATGTACAATTTAATTGTCTACCAAATTGTATTATGGCATTTTTTACCTATCTCTTCAAGTTTTCGTAGAAAATGTATTTTCTTATAATTTAGATCTGATTTATTAATATACCTATGGAATATTGACATTTTACATTATTTTTAAAGATGTATCAAATTTTCGAGGAATACCAGATACTAATATTGTCGATATAATTCGCTTATTTCATTAAAAAATATAAAAAAAATGTTTAAATATTTGTTAAAGAGGACCAATTAATATGATCCCAGTATTCTAACTACATTATTTGACTGTTTGCGTTGATTAATAAAAATTGCTCCAAATACTAAAAAACTGAATTTTGTATGTGTAATAGACAGTGTGGTAAAAAGTAACACCTTATAAATTTTATTTCATTTTTTGACGAATGCTTATACAATATAACGTTCATTTTCATAGCTTATTATTATATCGATTTATGATTCAAATCCACATTTATTTAGAATAATTTATTAACTGAAACAATTAAGTATGTAATTAACTAATTTTTGGGTAGAAATAATGGTGGTATATTTAAATGGTATACTCTTCTACAAAAATTTAAGTAGTTTTCTTTTTGTAAAGAAATGGGCTTGCAATATTATTGTTTTACCACCTGTACGTTTTGTATATTTGTTGCTTTAAAAAAATCTAAAATGTATTAAAAAATCTAAAATGTATTCCATGGGATAAATGAGGTTTTAATTATAAGAAAATGCATTGTCTAAACTTGAAGAGATAGGTAAAAAATGGTATAATACAATTTGGTATACAATTAAATTGTGCATCTGATTCTCGTAGAATATACAGGGTGTTCCATTGAAATTAAACAAGTTATTGCCGTTTAAAGCTAGTGATTTTTTAATAATAATTTTTAGACACTCTGTTTAAGGTAGTATTATTTTTAATATTGCAACACAATATCTGATCAATAAATAAACTTCAGTGTATATTTAGCATTAAAAAATTTCATTCCCTTTGAGAAATGAAGCCTTAAAATTTTTACTACAATTTCAAAAAATTAAGCGAGATTTAAGTGCGATAAACCTTAATCAAATTTACCTTTATTCCAATCATAGAATCTAAAAATAAAATAATATACAGGGCGTCCCATTTAAAAAAATACAACTATAATATTTTTTATTTATTTGGGACACTGTGTATCTTCTAAACATAATTTTAAATTGTAGCTCTAATAGTCCTTCAACGAACCCAAAACTTAAAATTTGTAAAAATTTAATCATTTAGCTACAATACTCTGTGTCGTGTGTGATGAATAACCTTGTATAAGTAAATATATTGATACTCAGTAGCGGATACAAAGGGAGAGCCCATGAGGCCAAGGCCCCCCTAAAATCTATAAATTGGGTTAGATATTAGGCTTTTGGGTTAAAATGGTGCTCTTAAAAAGACATATTCTACACTACTTTTTTATTTGGGCCTCCTCTAAAATAAATTCCTGTATCCGCCCCTGTTGATACCTATACTTCAAATATCGTGTTTTTTTTGTTAAAAGTGTTAAAAGTTAGAACAATTAAGCAAATAGTGATAAACATAACTGATTTTTACATACTCGATCCAGACTTACTTTAATCAGCAGTAATTGTTGTTTATAACACAGAGTAAAGACACACAACAGATTCTGTTCTGTGGTAAAGACATAATAAGGTATTTATTTTTCTCCAAAAAAATCCTATATGGGTATTTCTCCACTGCAAGAAAATCTACAAAATAAAATAGTTATTTTTCGTCCGCGACTTCGAGCAAGTACCATGAGCTTATATGAACAATTTCACATGGGTCGCGTAAGCTCCGTCCGGATGAGCTATATTGAAAAAACATCCGCGTGGACGGTCCGCTCCATCTGAAAACGCTGTACTTGTCAGCAGTTAGGTTTACAGATAAACAAGTTTGCCTAAAGAACAAAAAAATGCTTAACGTTTCAGAAAGTTTATCTCTTTCCGCCGTCGGGAGCAAAAAAAAATACAAAGAATAAAGAAAAAAAACTATTTAAAAATTTAAACGCAACTATTCGAGAACACTTTCGTTTTTTTTAAACAGTATATCAAGTTAAACTTCAAAATTAAGATTTGTTTGTCGTCGGAAGCAAAAAAAATATAAAGAATCAAGAAAAAAACAATTTAAAATATTTAAATTGAACTATTCGAGAACACTTTACTTTTTAAAACAGATACGTCTACAAGAAATTGTTGACGTTCTGTTAAAATGACATTATATTAAGTTAAACTTCAAAATTAACAATTACTACCTGATAACAATTACTTAATAAGGTAAAACCAAAAAGCCCAAACTTTCTGTATGATTATTTTTAAATTTTACGTATGTTATGTTTATTTATGTTCTTTAAAATTAAAGAAGCGATGGCCATACTTTACTAACATCTACAGATGCATGAGCAATACATTTATTCTTATTAGATTGTATTAAAAAAGCCTCTTTTTATTTTTCTTTTAGAAGCTATCGCTTCTTTCATTATAATTTTGTATTTATTTTTACTCGGACAAATAAGTTGCTAAAGCTATAAAATAAATAATTCTCTAAGTTTTTCTTGGGCTGTCGCCAAGACATGTGCGCCAAGACATATTTATATTAAAATTATCTTGAAAATCATATAGTATCATTTTAAATTCAGGCAAGTTGTCAGTTCACACTTTTTTACTAAAACCGTTTTATTTTTTCAGCAAAGAGAACGTGTTGCTTCTGTGGTTCACAGACAAGAAACTGTGGACTGCCTCAAGAAATTCAATGCTAGGCGTAAACTTAAGGTAAGTTTTAGTTTTTGGAACATCGACTTTAGCCTTTCTTCGTGTACTACATTGAAACGTCAAACCTACTGTTGAATTTCAGGGTGCTATTCTAACCACAATGTTGGCCACCAGGAATTTTTCGAGTAAGTTTTTAATTTTATCTTTCTTTTATACTTGCGCCTACATTTTAATTAAAAATTCAACTTATTAATATTTCAGATCGAATATTCATCCCTAATTTTTCATAATATTTCTAGTTTAATATTGACATTTAACAAGTTCAATGTCCTAATATTCTCCATTTGAATTTATTGTCTAATGGTATATATTTAAGTGTAATAATATTTTAACACTACAACAGAACACAAACCAAAGACAAAACCAACACTTCGTTAGGCATATTAGAATTTTATTTATTTAAATATTTTTAATAGTATTTTTTTAGTTTAGACTCCTAGGAGAAAGATTTTTCATATTTTACTTCTTCATAAGGCACATAAATAAAGGAAAAAAAGTTTAGATTGGAATACTCGGCTTATAATTGTTTTGGAGCGCATACGTTGAGGGCGCTGCCATAGCGGTTATTAAGAGCAACCGCCAAACAAGAACAGAAATAATTTTCTCTTGTCAAAGTCTTCAAAAATTATTAAAAATTTCAAAATTTAAACCGCCCTCATTGAAAAATACCGAAAAGCGTTTAAAGCGTCCATTTTTAAACTAATTATTGCTATATTGTGAGTTTAATTTAAATTTTATTTACTCAAACCCGTGATAATTGTGAAAAAGTGGCATTAAAAACTTAAAAAGCTGTGCAAATTATGAACTGCAAAAAAAAACATCGTGGATCGTGGCATAACCTCGGTTTCCAATGTTTAATAAGTATTTCATACATGTCCTTATACAAAATTAAATTTCTTATAATATGCAACGCACTGTATTTTATTTAAAAATTTAAAAGAAAATAATAAATTTGAATAGATAATATTTGGCGTCATAATTCCGGAAAAGGTCGAACCGCTCCGAAATTATCAATAGCTTTGGAGAAGCGACTGTTGCAAGAATTTTGTCCTTAGGGGCACTTTCCAATCTAAACTTGTTTCTTTTATCTATGATAAGGTATTACTCTAAATAAAAATTGTTTTTAAGTAAAATATGAAATTTTTTATTTTTTTATTAAATATTTTTTAATAGAATGTAAATAATGATTTATAAATACTTTTATTACTACGGCATGGGAAAGAGCTAGATTTTTCTATTTTCTTAGAAAACCTTTAAATTTTAGTAGTCTTTCTACTCTATAAACATTTTAGTCTTTATTTTTTTTAAATATTTTCGGAAACTTAAGAACTTATTATAATGGATATAATTTTATTCCTGTAATTATTATTTTTAAATTTATGTTATTTCCTCATAACACATCTTTTTTAGTTTAACACTTTACATTTTCTTTCGCAAGACACTACATTAATTGTTACACAAACATGACTTTCCTATTTATAGTAAAATGCTTTTTATAATGAAATTTAAAAATTATGGCGTTGTCGAGGCTTTATACAAAGACACCAGACTTTATACAGAGTCTTCAACAAAAATATTCTGTGTATATTCAATCACGCAAAATTAAATACCAAAATGTGATGTATAACATATTTATAACACATTTATATCATATAGTATTTTTTGTTTATTGATTTTGGTCAAATTTGACTTTGGAATTAGTTTTGGCTCTACAGGTGCAATTCTGTAACCTCATAACATGAAATCTCTTGCTAGTGACTATTTTTATGGTTTATAATATGATTTTCCTCGATTTTACAAACGACTGATATTTTCATCTCAACCAAACAAAGAATGTCTCGAAATTTATTTGGAAAATATCATAAGACTAGAAATATCAATACTCGGTAAGGAAGATGTTAAAGGGTGTTGCTATAGTGAGTAAAACAATGACTAAAGAATACAAGGACTAATAACACCCCAGACCAAATTGTTACCATACCACCAAACAGAGCCGTGCCACATATTTTTCTTAACTTAGCTGCTTAAAGAGATATTTATATTTTTAATAAATGTTTTGACTACGCCTGTGGTGTATGCGATGGTATCATACTAATTAATTACGGAAAAAACGTATTAAAATGTCAACAAAAGGTACAAAACTAGTATCGACGTATAGCACATAACAGTACATATAATATCCGAAAAATATTATTGAATTCAATAAGAAAACTAAGAAAATGCTAAAAAGTTAGAGTGGACTCCTGGCTTTTTCTTATCGCTGCGGCTTTTACACTTGAAAGCTGAACAACTAATCACTATTGTAATAAAGTTTATACAAACAAAGTCATATTTAAAATTACACATTTACAAAGTCCACGACACACTAACTATTAAAAATCGCCAAAATTGTCGCTGATTACTTTGGACAGCTTACAGAATCGCACCGCTGGACACTTATTTCAATTACATGGTGCTAGTGGAACAAAATACCCTAAAGCTGAATTTTTTTGGCTATTTAGCCATTGTGGTCCAGATTAACATACCAAAAGTCCCCATCTCTCCGATCGCGATCTAAAGATACAATTTTTTAGTTTTTGATAGAAATCTCCGATACTCATACCGATTTCAGCTTCATTAAAAAATTACTGGTTATTAAAATTATTACTTATAAAATTACCTACAAAGTGGGGCATATAAGTGCAGGATTTGATCATACCAGTGGCCGTGGAGGGGGAGCTTAAAACTCTAAATTTATTACATTGTTGAAATTCGTGGTTTATATAGCAAATAATGTTCTTAAATTTATTTTTACGACAATGAAACCATTGTACGTGCCAGGGGCGTGCAACAAGTACTTAAAAAGACGAGTGAGTTCCAAGTTTTAAAAACGAGCTATATGCAGTTATTCTAAACGATTCGCTCATGACAAGGCAAATAAAATTTTAAAAAAATAATATACAGGATATCCCATTAAAAAAAACATAAGTTTAAGTCATATTTAAATAAAAAAAATCAAGTCTAAAAATGCAACGTTTTCAAATTCGCCTTGTATTTCAGAAACCAAGGGGTCTAGGACAAATCTGTGTGTAGCATCTTTAGATTTTAATAAAAATAAATATCAGAAAACAGAACAAATTACCCATATTTTTTGCATAATCTGTGTGCATATTCTGAAAGTAAATTCCTAGAAAAAAATAATGTATGTAGTTTTTAAGAAATGCATTTAAAATTCCGGCAGATAATAAAAAAACTCGCGTGAAAAACATGCAAGTTTGTTTTCTTTGTTATACGGCAACTAAAAAAGCCCAACAACGAAGAAAAGAGCTCTTCTTTCAGAATAACAAAGAAAAAGAACAAAAACGACGGTCTTTTTAGGCTTGTACATTTTTACCGCCTTTATTTAGTTAATTCTCCGTATTAACGAGTTGCTTAATCAAAACGAACCACAATGGAGTAAAAGAATAAAAACTAGAAAGAAACCCTTTTTCAAAAATTGTAATTAATAATTGGGAAATATACAGTGTTACAGATAAAGTTCATCATCTGGAATTTTTATTTATTTATTGACTTTAATGCAATTTGACTTTGGTGATAGTCTCTTCTTTGATTTGGATTAAAAATGACTTAAGGAAATTTATTCTGTTGCCTTCGGGTATCTGTCAAATTTGACATTTAACGTAACAAATGGCCGAATTTCGAGGAATTTTATTGGAAAAAGTTATTTATTTTTTAACTAGACATAAGTATACCAATTTTTAGCCAACTAGATGAAGAATAAAGTTTGCTAATTTTTCACCAATAACAGCCGATTCTCGTGGTGGAATCCAAAATAACTGCTGGTTAGTCAAATGTGTATCTGTTGACTGTACAAGATATATATCTTTATAGACTCACCCTGTATACTGAGTTAAATTTATTGAATCTGCTAACAGTTTTTCAAGAAAAATAAATTTGGTTGTAAAAATTAGACAAAAAGTGATGCAAAGTATGAATAACTTCCCCATTTATCGAGATCATCTTAAAATCATATGAAAGAGCATCATAAAAGTGATATTTCTACATACTGGGAACTTATTTGCACAATACTAAATGTTAGAATGTATTTTTCATAGCCTAATTGTAGAACAGTTTGGTTAGACATTGCCTATACAGGCTGAGTCTTAAATAAGTACAAATTATTTTCAGGGTTAGTAGATCAAAAAACAAAATGCTCAGGAGTCATGGTTCTGACAGAAAAATTATATTTTCGGAAAATTTTCACACGAAATTATTGCACAGGGTGTTTTAAAGTTAGGGTAAAAAAAACAAACCCTCGATTAACCCTGTATAATATGCCAAATACAAAAGTTTATAAAAAACTTAGTTTAGGAATTAAAGTTGATATAATTATACACAGTTTGCTAAAAAAAATCATGAAAATAGTGCTAAAAATAACAAAAATATACAACTTTAAATTTGACCAAAAATTTCTCCGTTGCGTTTTTTTTTTTGTATCTGAGTGTAATTATATTGATACTTAATTATTTATGCCATTCTTATTTTGTTATTTTGCCAATTTTTGCTTATGGCTTTTTGTCTACATTATATGCACGTCCCTGTATACCACCTACAACTTTCAGATTTTAATCTGAATCTGAAATGGGATTTATAATCGTGAATTTGAAATGAGAGGTAAAATTGGAATCTAAAAGGTCTAGTTCCTGTATAAATCCTTTATTAATACAACGGTAACAAGGGCTTCAATAATCAGAACAGCGATCCTTCGTTAATAAAAGTTATTAATTATTCTGAGACTGTTAGGATTAGGCTTAAAGCTGACTGTCAGTTTCAATTTTCTGGGTGTAGTTTTTTTTTACTAAAAACAGTACAAAATCTTAGGTACTTTCAGTGAGTAAGTACATACTTCCATACCTCACATATTTGCGTACAATTAATAAAAAATAATGTTTTGTTATTTAAAAAAAAACTATAATTATACTATAATTATACTATACCGGGTGCGTCTCAAAAGTGGGTCACCCCCTATAACTTTTTTATTTTTTCAGATAAAAAGACGAGATTTGGTATGTTAGTATATGACCTAAATTTTGATTGATTGACGTATTCAATTGTTTTCGGTCACTTCCTGTTTTACCGGAAATGA